GAGGAGGTGGGGGTGAGGAAGAGAGAGGAGTCCAGGACGACTTCTGGATCTCTGGCTTGTGAAACTGGAAGGGTGGGGACATCAGTTACCAAGAGAGGAAGCACAGTGGTAGTTGGGAGGGAGAGCTGAGGACTGTGAGCCATTCTGTCGGCATTTGAGAGTCCCTTAGGTCCAAGCATTTTACTAGGGAGATAGGAGGAGGCCACCACCTACGTTTCTCTGAACTTTTCAAGTTTTTTCATCTTCATCATTCAGCATATCTTTAGTAGATTCTAAGTATTGTGTTTCAGTGGACGAAATCCAGAAGTGACATAAGGAGGCAACAGCTCATTCACAGACATACGTCAGTGAGACTTACTACGGAATGTGAACAGTGGTTTGGCAGAAATAGGGTTGGAACCACTCCCTGCAGCGGTGATGCCTGTGTTGAGGTTTGAAGGGCAAGTAGGTCTTCTTCAGAGCATGGTGGGAAGAGGGAGCTGCCTGCATGAAGGCTTATGGGCAGAATAATGAGTAAGTGCAGAGTAACTGGGATCTTAGGTGCACAGGGTTGGTAGGCAGAGATGCCCATTACAGCAAGCTGGAGAGTTAAGATTCTACCTTTATATACACCTTGTATTTAGAGGACTGACCACATGTCCTGGTCTAGACATATCATCCCAGCATCATTCATCATCGTGATCCTTTCACTGTGAAATGTGCCTCTAATTTGATGATAAATGGTTGCCCAAGTTAAAATAGAAGTCCAGACCTATAGGGACAGTCACTGTGATAGCAGTGTGCTTCCTTCACAGTAGGACCTTGGGATTACATGAGATGGAGCATAGCAGTGCTTCTGAAACTTCACAGTCCATTGAGAAACAGCTGTGGGTCTTGTGAATATGCACATTTGGATTCAGTACATCTGGGCTGGGCCTCGGGAGCTGTCTAAGCTCCTGGGTCATTCCTAGGCTGCTGACCTGGGACCTCACTTTGAGTAGTAGGTAGTATTGGGCTTCAGGAGCTCAGAGGGTCTGTGAAGTTCTGAAATCACATGCAGAAATGCCTGTACATACATTCTTTAGAGATGGGCCTAATACCCTTGCGTTAGTTTCTCAAGGAGGTCTGCTGCCATCCAAAAAAGATGAGGAATCACTGCCTTTTGGAAGTGACGTGCAGATTAAATGGAATCTGTTGATACAACGCCTTTAGCGTTGTGTGGAGCATAATGGACACACAGTCTGCACTAGCCGTATGTCCTCCTTCCCTTCCCTGACCCCAGCTCTTTGAAGGCAGGACGCATTGCTTCAACATTTTAAATGGCTTTTTAATGTCCTTTTTTTTTTATGCTGTTGGTGCTCAGTAAATGTTGATTTAGCTTGGTGACAAGCTGTTTGAGGACTGCGAGCCATTCTGTCAGCATCTGAGAGTCTCTTAGGTCCAAGCATGTTATTAGGTAGATAGGAGGAGGCCACCACCTAGGTTATTGCAGATGCCCAGGCAGGTGGAATCATCAGGGACTGTGCTGTTTAGTGACTGTTGAAGAGGGGACGAATCAATCTTCTTCCTGAGTTACAATGTGTGTTCAGAAAAGTGCTTCTACTGCCTTGGATTCAGCGAGGTCCTGTTCTCTGGTTCTCAGTTGTGTGTGTTTTCAGTATGGATTAATTACTTCTTGTAATGCCTAATTTAATTCATTCAGTTGTTATTCTTGCCAAGTGAAGTTTTTCTAAACGTTTTGATATGTTGTTGAGATGGTCCCAGAAATTTGGCATCTGTGATCACCTTAGGGTAGTTGTGATGGAAAGGGTATGTAATTTATGGTATTTTCAAAGTTTCTGAAGAGATGGAGAGAACAGCGATGAGAGAGACTTGAAGATCAGTGGTCCTACGGAGTCGTAGATGCTTCAGAGACTTGACTGTTGAGAAGGGAGAATCTTGGATTGGAAGGTTATTTTTGAGAAGGTGGCATGTTGGTAGTGAAAGTTGGATTCCAGTGAATTAAAAGAGCAAATGAGAGATGAGGTTAATTACAAAAGAAATTTGAGCAGGGTTGTGCTCTGTGACCCAAGATAGAGTACAGTGGTGTAATCATGGCTCACTGTAGCCTCGAAGTTATGGGCTCAAGGGATCTTCCCACCTCAGTTCCCTGAGGATCTGGGACTGCAGGTGCGGGCCACCGTGCTTGGCAGGAGTTTAATTTTTCTGGCATGTTTCTTGTAGTTGCATTAGAGTTTTTCTTCCGGCCAGTGCAGTGGCCCACACCTCTGATCCCAGCACTTTGAAAGGCCGAGACAGGTGGATCACCTGAGAGCAGGAGTTTGAGACTAGCCTGGCCAAAATGGTGAAACCCTGTCTCTACTAAAAAGACAGAAATTAGCTGGGCATGGTGGCACGCACCTGTAATACCAGCTACTCGGGAGGCTGAGGCAGGAGAATTGCTTGCACCTGGGAGGCAGAGGGTACAGTGAACTGAGGTTGCACCACTGTACTCCAGTCTGGGCAACAGAGTGAGACTCTGTCTCGCCGCCCCCCCCCCCCCCACTTTTTTCCTTCTGATTGACATTTAGGTGTTGCTGTTGTTGTTTTTGAGAGGGAGTCTTGCTCTCTTGCCCAGGCTGGAATACAGTCTTGTGATCTCTGTTCACTGCAACTTCTTCCTCCCAAGTTCAAGCTATTTTTCTGCCTCAACCTCCTGAATACCTGGGATTACAGATGCCCACCACCATGCCCAGCTAATTTTGTATTTTAGTAGAGATGGATTTTCACTGTGTATGTCAAGCTGGTCTGGACCTCCTGACCTCAAAAGATCCACCCACTTTGGCCTCCCAAAGTGCTGGGATTACAGGTGGGAGCCACCATGCCTGGCCAGGTTCGTTGTGTGTTTTTTTGGCTTTGTTAAGTTGTTAATAATTAGTAAGCCCTTAAAAGCACACAGAGTTCCCATTTTAAAGACATGCGTTCTGGATGTTGTTCATCAGCTTTATAAAGCGAATAATGATCTCAAATTATTTTATAATTTCTTTTCTAATTGGGGAGCATAAGTGAATCGAGACGTAGCTCTGCCCATCCTCCTGTTTTCTGCTTAGTTTCTCCCACCTTCTCAGTTGCCTGTAGTCATAGAGCTTTTTCTTGGATCACAGGAATTCTCCTACACAGTGATTCTAAACTCTGACTGTAAGTCAGAATCACACAGGAAGTGTTTGAAATGCTGCGTGAGGCCTGGACTGCCCCCTAGAGCACTGAAGTCAGAATTGCTGCAGCTGTGGCCTGAGTATGCTCTGATTCGGAGTGTGGCCAGGTTCGAGGACTGTTGTCTCAGGCGTTTGTCCAGCATGGATTAGCCTGCTCCTCTGCTAGCTGAGTACCGCAGGGGGTTGTTCATCTGCTTCTATGTGGAAAATAGAGCACAGGGAGCTGACGGGGCAAAAAAATCTCTTCCAGGATATGCAGGTCCCATAAAGGGGACTCTGAAGTCTGGAGTTAACAGTTTTTTAGTCAAAGATTTCAGACCGTATCCGTGAACCTAAATATATAATTAAAGAGTGGAGTGCACACTGTTGGGCTTTCTGCTGGTAAAGCGGGCTGTACTTGCATAACGTCTGTCTTGGGAGGACGTGCTTCAGCAGGTCACTAGGTGAAGGTTAAACCTACACATACCATCCTGCATAATTTAAATCATCTCTAGATTACTTATAATACCAAATACACTTTAAATGCTATGTCAGTATGCTATACCATATTGTTTAGAGAATAAGGGCAAAAAAAAAAAAAGGTCTGTGTGTGTTCAGTACAGATGCATTTTTTTTCCCAAATATTTTCTATCCAAGGCTGGTTGGATCCAAATGTGGAACCCACAGTTATAGAGCGCTGACTGTACTGGGGAAATCTTTAGGGTGGAAACATTTCTTAGAGATGGTTTCTATCACTAGAAGGGGAGCAGTGGACTACTCCTTAGCTGTCATACCTCTTTTTGCATTCTTTTGTTTTCAGCAAATAGTAACTTTGCAGCTTTTTACTTCTTCAGCCAAACCGTCTACGTAGCCTTGGTTTCCTTTCACAACAGAGGCAGCCATTAAGCGGGAAGTTCTGTGCTTCATCTTTTTTTTTTTTTTTTTTTTACTTTTTAGAAAAACATTTATTGTGATCAGTCACACTCAGGTTGTAGTTCTGAAAGCAAAGTGAAAACATACAGTCCAGCTGTGCCTCAGTATCCATGGGGGATGGGTTCCAGGACGGCACCCCCACCCCTCAGACATCAAAATCTGAGGATGCTCAAGTCCCTGATAGGCAGGGGCAGAGTGTTTGTATTTAACCTACACATACCATCCTGCATAATTTAAATCATCTCTAGATTACTTATAATACCAAATACACTTTAAATGCTATGTCAGTATGCTATACCATATTGTTTAGAGAATAAGGGCAAAAAAAAAAAAAAGGTCTGTGTGTGTTCAGTACAGATGCATTTTTTTTCCCAAATATTTTCTATCCAAGGCTGGTTGGATCCAAATGTGGAACCCACAGTTATAGAGCGCTGACTGTACTGGGGAAATCTTTAGGGTGGAAACATTTCTTAGAGATGGTTTCTATCACACCCTTGAGCAAGAGCAACACTGGCATACCTCTCTCTATGCTTTGCAGAATCTGTATCTTTTCAGAAATGGAAGGTTTGTAGGAGCCCTGCATCAGGCAAGTCTATTGGCACCATTTTTCCAACAGCATGTGCTCCCTTTGTGTCTCTGTGTCAGCATTTTAAACAATACATATTTTAAAATTAAGGTTTGTACTTTTTTTTAGACATACTGCTGCTGCACCTTATCTCTGAGGTATGCCTGTACATTTTACTAAGAATATTTCATTTGAGAACTAAACCTCAAGAACTGCCATGACTTTTCAGATGGGAAGAGCGAGGCCCTGGGAGGGTGTGCAGCTAGTCAGGGCCAGGATCAAGTCCACTTGGTGCTTGAGGATTCACTCAGCAGGCCATCTGTCCCCTCCATGGGATGGTTTGGCGGTCCCTGGGTAGGGGAGGGCTGCATAGGAGGTTAAATGTGATTCCAGCATGGGCCGCTCCAAGGCTCTGAGACCCCAAGGCCCGCAGAGGGGTGGCCTCCAGTCCTGCAGCTGGTGTTTGGAAGAAGAGTCATCTCCTAAGATGAGAAGACCCCTGGGGGAGGCTGAGGCATGGTCAGACCATTGGCTGAGCATGATCATTTCTCCAGACCCGTGCGGGTGAGAGGATTCAGTAGATGCCACTGAAACCTGCGCCAGGCAGGCCTTTGCTCTTCACTGAGGGGCCAGTCAGAGGGCTGTGAAGGCACGTCAGTGCACATGCCGCTGGCACATGCTTCTTCGTAAGTAATATCTGGAACATGACACTGCACAGAGGTCGCCTCTCCAGCAGGACATTGCTAGTAGGACACTCATGATGTGGAGGTTCCTCAGGGGCATCCACTGGGCTTCTCCCGACTCCCAAGCCACCTATTCAGAGTCACAGAGTCATCTAAAGGAGTCTCCCACCTCCCCGGAGGTGTGGCCTACAGGTCATACTGGATCTCGGCCCGCAGCTCCTCAATGACTTAGTTCACCAGCGTGGCTGCAGGGCCTCGCTGCCCATGACCAGCATGGTCAGCTGCACGGCGTCTGTCCACTTCAGGTGCCTGATAATGGCTGTGGCTTCATTAAAGAGCCTCTGCTGCTCGGCAGGGGGCAGCTCCATTATGATCTGAGGAATTGGCTTAAACTGTCCACTTGTCACCCAGGCACCTAACAGCCCCCTGACAGCCTCCCCAATGGCAAGTCCCGGTGGACCACCCACCAAACCCCCGATGAAGGCCACGGCGCCTGTGACCAGGGCACCCTGCCCGGAGTGCTTGACCGCCACCTTCATCTTCCTCTCCCTGGAAAGGGAGGACAGCAGCTTCATGATGTCCTCCACCATGATGGTCATCGTTTCGGGCCTTTACCTGGGGGAGCGAAGGCCTGCTGCACAAGCTCAGCAGTCAGAGGCGGCTACAGCCCACACGGAGATGGAGACGCGCCCGCGACACGGGCCCTACTGTCTTGCCACTTCTTGCCTGGCTCCCTGGCCCTGATCCCAGCCCCGGTCCCAGCCCCAGCCCCGGCCCCAGCCCCCCCAGCGGAGGGTCGCGCAGGCCTCGGTGGCAGTCCCGGCGCTCTTACTTAATCTTAAAGCTGGAAGGAGAGGAGTATATTTACCAGCTAATCTAAGTACTTCTAGATTTTCTAGGAAATTTTAATGGACTGTTGACAGTTGCCAGCAAATCAGAGGAAAATCATTTCCGTAGTCAGGAGTCTGTTTTCATGGATGTCCTTTAACTTGAAGCTCTGCTGTAGCGATATGCTTTCCTTCCTGGCGGGTGGCCTTCAGTAGCTGGGCTTCTGTTGGTCTGGTTCCAGCATATGTTATTAAGTGAAAAATCCAGTGGAACAGATGGCACGTACACATTTCTGCCCATGTGGCACTCTGTTTAATGAAACACTCTAGTTTTGCTTCATTGTTTTTGGCAGCAATTGTTTTGTGCGGAGTTTGAATACGTGGTATGAGAAGCTCAGCAGTAATAAAGGTTGAGCCAGGCAAGAATAATCCGAAGTGATTGAGTGATGATGGGACAGAGGCTGAAAGAGTGGAGCACTGTTCCACTGAAAACAGATGCAGAAGAGAAAGACGATACAGGTTTTAAGGTGTGTGGAGCACCGGCAGGTCTTTGGACCAAGGAACATGAAACTCAAAATCCCAGCGTGTGGACGCTGACAGAGTGTGCTGAGGAGTTCTTCTTCCGTCAGTGAAAGGTGAAAACTGGCCCTTGGTCTTCAGGAACTCTGATGATGGTACAGCTTCAAATGCCTTACATAGATTGTGCATCACAATTTTTAAAAAGTCAGTCTTACTGAGGTAGAATTTAATACAGTAAATGTGCCCATTTGAAGTTTGCAGTTTGAGGTTTTTTGTTTTTGTTTTTGAGACAAGGTGTTGCTCTGTCTCCCAGGCAGTGGTGTGATCCCAGCTCACTGTAGTCTCGACCTCCCGAGCTCAAGCCATCATCCTGCCTCAGCCCTCCCAAGTAGCTGGGACTACAGGCATGTGCCACCAAGCCCAGCTATTTTTTTTTGTAAGAGACAGAGTCTTGCTCTGTCTCCGAGGCTGGAGTACAGTCATGGCTCAAGCAATTCTGCCTCAGCTCCTGAGTAGCTGGGACTAAAGGTACATGCTACCATGCCTGGCTAGTTTTTTGTGTTTTAGTAGAGATGGAGTTTCACTGTGTTGCCCAGGCTGGTCTTGAACTCCTGAGCTCAGGCAATCCACATGCCTTGACCTCCCAAAGTGCTAAAAGCTCAGCTATTTTTATAAAATTTTTGTAGAGATGAGGTTTTACTGTGTTGTTCAGGATGGTCTTGAACTTGTCTCAAGTGATCCTCTGACCTTGGCCTCCCAGAGTGGTGGAATTACAGGTGTGAGTCATCATGCCCATCTCAGTTTGAGTTTTGACAGATGTATACACCAAAGTAGTAACTACTACCACAGTCAAGATACAGAGCATTTCCATTGCCTGGAGAGTTTCCTCTGCCCTTTGCCATGAGTCCCCACCGTATCAGGCAGGCAGCGGTCTGCTTCTGTCACTATAGGCCAAGGAAGTTTGCCTTTTCTAGAATTACATTGATGCAGAATTATACAGACTGTACTCTTTTGTTTCGAAACAGAGTCTCACTCTGTCACCCAGGCTGGAGTGCAGTGGCACGATCTCAGCTCACTGCCACCTCTGCCTTCCAGGTTCAAGTGATTCTCCTGCCTCAGCCTCCTGAGTAGCTGGGACTATAGGTGTGCACCACCACGCCTGGCTAGTTTTTGTATTATTAGTAGAGATGGGGTTTCACCATGCTTGCCAGGCCGGTCTTGAACTCCTGACCTTGTGATCCACCTGCCTTGGCCTCCCAAAATGCTAGGCTTGCAGGCATGAGCCACTGTGCTTAGCTTTGTTTGGTTTCTTTCACACAGCCTAACTTTTTTGAGATTCAGCCGTGTTGAGTGTTGAGTTCCAGCCTTTTCAGTACTGGGTAGTATTCCTTTATGGATGTCCCACCATTTGCTTGTCTCCACGGTTATTGTAAATGAATCTGCTGTTCACAGTCACATACAAGTGTCTGTGTGGACATAGGTTTTCATTTCTTGTGGGTAAACTGTGGTAAGCCTGTATTCTATTTTATAAGAAACTGCAAGGCTTTTTCACAGCGGCCATGCCATTTTATATCTGCACCAGCAGTTGTAAGAATTCTGCTTCTCTGTCCTCACCAGCATTTGGTATTGTCAGTCTTCCTTTTTTGAGACAGAGTCTCACTCTGTGGCCCAGGCTGGAGCCGTGGTGTGATCTTGGCTCACTGCACCCTTCTCCTCCCAGGTTCAAGCAGCTCTCTTGCCTCTGCCTCTCAAGTAGCTGGGATTACAGGCAGACGTCACCATGCCTGGCTAATTCTTTATTTTTAGTAGAGATGGAGTTTCACCATGTTGGCCAGTCTCAAACTCTTGACCTCAAGTGATTTGTCTGCCACAGCCTCCCAAAGTGCCAGCGTTACAGGCCTGAGCCACCGTGCCCGGCCCAGTCTTTAATTTTATTGCATGTCAATTTAAAAGGAGATAATTTTTTGTCCCCAGGAACATGACTTCCTGCCACTCATAGCAAAGTGAAACTGAGTACAAGTGGGTGGTTCTTAGTAAAATCTGTCTAGAATCCAGAAAGACAGTTGGCAGAAAGGAGAGTCTAAGGAACGAGCCGACGAGAGCCCGCTTCGCACTAGACACGGGGCAAGGGTGGTGGGCGTGGGGATTAAAGTGGATTTCACGCCGGGCGCAGTGGCTCACACCTATAATCTCAGCACTTTGGGAGGTCGAGGCGGGTGGATCACGAGATCAAGAGATCGATACCATCCTGGTCAACATGGTGAAACACCGTCTCTACTAAAAATACAAAAATTAGCTGGGCATGGTGGCGCGTGCCTGTAGTCCCAGCTGCTCGGGAGGCTGAGGCAGGAGAATTGCCTGAACCCAGGAGGCGGAGGTTGCAGTGAGCCGAGATCGCGCCATTGCACTCCAGCCTGGGTAACAAGAGCGAAACTCCGTCTCAAAAAAAAAAAAGGATTTTAAAAGGAATGACCTGCCCCAATACCTTCTCATCATTTCCATGTTTTTTTTTTTTTTTGGCTCCTTTTCTCCACTTATAAAGTTAAGATTTTGAAAAGTGGTTTCTCTTTAGCTTCGGAAATGGGATCACATGTAATTGTTAATGATTTTTCTCTAGGTCAAAATTAGATATTCCTTTAAAGTTTTCTGTAAAACTTAATTTAGTTATCATGGTTGCATTTAAGTGTTATATTTTTAAAATAAGTGTTATTTCTTGATTATATTTATTTAAAGGTTATATTTGAAAGTGAAAAATGTAGTCCTGGCCGGAACATCTCTGGTGGTGATAAAAACATGAGCATAAACATGATTCGGAGTGGTCAGGTTAAGACTTTGTCAGCCCACTGACGTCTGCGAAGTCGCAGTGATTGCTGTGGGATATGGAGAAGTTACTCTTTGTCCTTAGAACTTTTTATTTGTGTCAGTGTTTTCATTTTCCTCTTCCTGAATTCATTTGTTCAACAAAGGTATTTTGAGCACCTACTGTATGCCAAGTGTACCGCATTAACTCCTGGCGTTGCCAAGATGTATCTAGCTCGATTCTTGTACTGCAAAGACACAGCTTTACGGAGGTATAGTGCGTGTGCCCTGAATTTCACCCACGTAAAGTGCATGTGCCCATGAATTTGAACAGGTGTATGCATTTGTGTAGTCACCTCCGCAATCAAGGTACCAGTTCTGTCATTCCCCAGAGTTTTCTTTGCACCCCCTTGCGGCCTCTTCTCTTGTTCATCCTTGGCCCCAGCAAAGATGGAACTGCTTCTGTCACAGTTTCCTTTGCTTTTTTATTGGTTTCTTCTTCAGTTTCTTTCTTTCTTTTTTTTTTTTTTTTCTGAGACAGAGTTTCGCTCTTGTTGCCCAGACTGGAGTGCAATGGCACGATCACAGCTCACCACAACCTCTGCCCCCTGAGTTCAAGCCTCAGCCTCCTGAGTAGTTGGGATTACAGGCATGTGCCACCACGCCCGGCTCATTTTCTATTTTTAGTAGAGACGGGTTTCTCCATGTTGGTCGGGCTGGTCTCGAACCCCTGACTTCAGGTGATCCGCCTGCCTTGGCCTCCCAAAGTGCTGTGATTACAGGCATGAGCCACTGTGCCCAGCCCATTTCTTTTTTTCTTAAGGTCAGCACCAAGGTGATTGTAATGAATATGAAAGTAGGTGGCATCTTGAACTATGGCTGTCCCAGATGAAATTCATCCCAGATAAAGTTTACTGAATTTACTCCCTCATTTATCTGCTGTGTTTCATACAGTAACAATTTTAGATAGCAAGTCATTCAGTACTGAGGGCTGTCTATATTATCTTGCTATTTAGTACTAGTTAAGAGCAAAGCCAGTTAAAATTTGACGGGCATTTTGTAATATGGTTCTAATATAAACACGAGACTGGAAAGTTGGTAAAAGTGGGTTTCTGCAAAGTGAATCATGATTTCTAATTTGGAAATTCAATATATGGAAGGAAATTTCAGCTCAGAGTCTCCATGAAAGCACTTAATATACAAGCCAACCGTTGAAAACCATGCTTGGAAAGGTAACGTGATTCCTTTTTGATAGCACATTAGTCGTAGAAATAAAATGCACAGACAGGCAGGGAGGTCGACACTGAGCTGAAGTATTTGACATTTGAGTGTCAAGGAGAGATGCGGTGAGAGTGGCTTTGTGATCCAGCTCGTTTACTCTGTTCCCTTCCCAGGACCTCTCTGACCCAAGGAAGGAAAGCAGAATTTTGCTACAGCCCAGTTAGTGGGGAACGAAACTTCCTCTTCCTTTGTCTGCCGTTTGTGCACACGCAGTGCAGCTTGCACTGTAATAAAACTG